TGGAGAGACCTGAAAATGGCTGTCCACCAACGTTCACCATCCAACCTGACAGAACTGGAGAGGATCTGCCATGATGAATGGCAGAGGATCCCCAAATCCAGGTGTGAAAACTTGTTGCATCATTCCCAAAAAAACTCATGGCTATATTAGCTCCAAAGGGTGCTTCTACTAGATACTGAGCAAAGGGTCTGAATACTTATGACCATGTGTTATTTCAGTTTTTCCTTTTTAATAAATCTGCAAAAATGTTAACAATTCTGTGTTTTCCTGTTACTATGGAGTGCTGTGTGTACATTAATGAAGAAAAAAATCAACTTAAATGATTTTAGCAAACGGCTGCAATATAACAAAGAGTGAAACATTTAAGGGGGTCTGAATTCTTTCTGTACCCACTGTACCTGTCTGGGAGGAGTGGTTTTGGACTTCCTGGGTGTGTGTTTAAATGTTGTAGGCCAGTGGAAGACAGAGGTTAGGCCTCTTGTGGCCAATCATATTATTGTTATTGTATCATGGTTGCGCCTGCAGTTACCACTATGTGGCGCTGCTGCTCCATGATTCAGCAGTGTTGAAGGACATGTTTATGAACCTTTTGTCACTGAGCAAGGTGTTATCACAAAAGGAGTGGACGGAGCCTTGAGGTCTAGCAAACAACAGGTGGTTATGTGGATCAAAACGAGTGGATGGATCCGGGGTTCCCTGTAAGGATGTGGATTGGGCGTCTTCCCATTGTTGCCAGGGAGTAGAGGTGTTTTGGAACAACAGGGAGTAATCTAGAGAGTTGGTGTGAAGAGAATTTAGGGGCTATGTGAGTGAGTGTGTGTGCTTGGGAAGGCCTTTGGTGTCTTAGCAGCTTCCTGCTTTCAGACCCAAACTAAATGTGAAAACCACTGAAATCTAACAATCAGATACACCAAGGAGAACTGCAGCACTGATTTACTGCCTCTTTAACTTCAGTTTAGTTTTGTGTGATTGGGTGATGGTTTTTCTAGGTTGACAAAAATGGCTTATTTTACCCCTCTCTCAAACCATCTGTCTTCCCTGGCCAAAATGTGAACATTGTTGTCCTCAAAGGAGTGTGTTTTGTTCTTGAGGTGTATGTGAACAGCTGAGTCCTGTCCTGAGGAGTTGGCCCTCCTGTGTTGGGCCATGCGCCTGTGTAGCGGTTGTTTAGTCTCCCCAATCTACAGGTCTGTACACTTCTCACTGCACTAAATGGCATAAATCACAGCTTGTTTCTTGGTGTCTTGTCTTTGGGATGAACCAGTTTTTGTCTTAGGGTGTTACCGGGTTTGAAGTGTACGGGGATCTGGTGTTGGTTAAAGAGTTTTTCCAAAACTCCTGAAATGTATGGAATGACGGCATTCCCCCTCCTGTTGTCCTCCCTCTTTGTGGGCCTCTTGTTAGTTTTTAAAAAAGCCCATCTGGTATAGCCAGAGGTCTTGAGAGCTGTCCTAATGTGTCCCTGTTCTCTCATCTTACCTCTGTTGGTGGTGGGAATAGTGTCTGCCCGTGACTGTAGGGTTCTGATGACTCCTCATTTGTGCTCCAGTGGGTGGTGTGAGTCAAAACGGAGATACTGGTCAGTGTGAGTTTGTTTCCTGTACACCTCTACGTTGAGATGTCTGTCCTCTATGATGTGAACTGCACAGTCCAGGAAAGCAAGGCTGTTGTTTTTCACATCTTCTCTGGTGAACTTGATGTTCCTGTCCACCACGTTGATGTGATCAGTGAAGTTATTGACTTCCTGGATCTTGACCCAAGTGTTGTCCACATATCGGAACCAGTGACTGGGTGATGTTCCCATGTAGGAGTGTAGAGCTCGGCTCTCCACTTCCTCCATGTAAAGATTCGCCACTATGGGAGATACAGGAGAGCCCATAGCGCAGCCATGCTTCTGCCTGTAGAAGGACTCGTTGAACTGGAAGTAAGTGGTGGTGAGGCAGAAATCCAAAAGGGCACAAATGTGGTCAATGGTCAGGTTAGTGCTTATCAGCAGTGTGTGGTCTTGTAGTAGGCGCATCCTCACTGTTGCTATTGCTTCTGTGGTGGGGATGCATGTGATGTGACATCGTAGGAGACCATGGTCTCATCCTTAGTCTTCTTTAGTGTGACAGGCTGGAAAACATTGAGTCAGTCCAGAAGTAACAGCTCCTTCAAGAACGATCAAGCTTGGATTTTTTTTCCCCTGTCACATTTTATCATGAGGACAGAGAAACAGAAGTCTCATCAGGATCTGACCTTCATCTTCTTGCAGAGGCTAAATAAAAAAAGGGAAAATTATTGCTGATGAAATGATTGTCCCTCTGTTGGTTTAGACAATCAAACTGTAAATATTGTAATCTATAAATCTTATAACTTGTGTATTGTGATAATGTCTCTGTAGGTCATTACAGATCTGGAGGAACAGCTGACCAGACTGACAGAAGAGAACGCCGAGCTCAACCGTCAGAACTTCTACTTATCCAAGCAGCTGGATGAGGCCTCAGATGAGAGAGAAGATTGTCTTCAACTCAGCCAGGATGTGGACCGACTGCGTCGAGAGGTGGCCGACAGAGAGATGCACCTCAACAACCAGAAACAGGTACCCACTGTGGGGCCATGGCGAGATGGAGATTCATATATTAACTATGGAGTTTGAAAAGAATCGACCTAAGAATTTAAGAATCTAACTCAGGTCCAAATTCTAGGAACAACAAAAAAGGCAGATGATATGATGTTAAATACGTCATTAAGAACAAACCTCGTTGAAGTTTTCATGACAAAAACAAGAAACAAGTAGACATACAACACTAATACAGTTGTTACTAATGTATAAATCAACAATGAAATGTCTTCAAAAATCAAGGACAGCCCAGTTTCCCTCTAACTATTTTAATAGTTATGTAACATAATTACTTTACTACTAATCCTACTTTGGCTACTTTCTATTAAGTTCTAAGCTATCTTCCAGTTCTATCTTTAAAACTGTAGTTTATATTCTACCTTTAAATTCACAAAAGTCATATCAGTTTTCCTCATACCTTTTTTTTGTAAGAGTATTTAAAATATCATTATTAAATGTGATGCATTTCTTATTCAAATCTTACCTTTTTTCTCCCCAGAACCTTGAGACTCTAAAAACCACTTGCACCATGCTGGAGGAGCAGGTCCTGGAGCTGGAGACCCTGAATGATGAGCTGATGGAGAAAGAAAGACAGTGGGACACCTGGAGGACAACACTGGTGGGCGAGAAAAACCAGGCTGAGAGGAAGACCAGGGAGATCCAGAGACTGTTGGACACAGAGAAACAAAAAAGGTGTCAACCACGTAACTGACTCATTGGTTCAGCTTTTTATGACATTTTCTGTGCAAATTTCTTGCTTCCTTAAAAACGGAGGCAGGATGGATATTTTTTGTAAACATTTTTCATTAACATTTTAGTACAACTGGATTAAGTAGTACTTCTGCAGCTTCTTTAGCTTCTGTTTACAGCCATGGGAAGATGTCTGGCCTTCTTGTAACCTCTCCCTTTATTCCATAAATCATTTTATACAATGGCCACTAATTACTGTTTTTTTTTTCATCAACATTGAGAGAAAAAAGTTGACTAAATATTTCAGTGTTGGATCTGAATCCTTCTACCTACACAAACAACATCTAACAGTTTTGAGTATAATATAATATAGTCTTAAGAGCTCGTGCAGGAGGTTGAGAGATACCGACTAGATATAGTCGGGCTCACCTCCACACACAGCTTGGACTCTGGGACCCAACTCCTTGAGAGAGGCTGGACCCTTTTCTACTCTGGAGTTGCCCGCGGTGAGAGACGGCGTGCTGGCGTAGGCTTACTTATAGCCCCCCAGCTTGCCAGTCGTGTGTTGGAGTTCTCCCCACTGAGTGAGAGGGTCGCTTCCCTGCGCCTTCGGGTCAGGGACAGGTGCCTCACTGTAGTTTCGGCCTACGGGCCGAACAGCAGTGCAGAATACCCGGCCTTCTTGCTGACACTGAGAGGAGTACTGGACAGTGCTCCTCCCGGGGATTCCATCGTCCTGTTGGGGGACTTCAACGCCCACGTGGGCAACGACAGTGACACCTGGAGGGGCGTGATTGGGAAGAACGGCCTCCCCGATCTAAATCCGAGTGGTGTTTTGTTATTGGACTTCTGTGCTAGTCACAGTTTGTCCATAACAAACACCATGTTCAAGCATAAAGGTGTCCACCAGTGCACTTGGCACCAGGACACCCTAGGCCGGAGGTCAATGATCGACTTTGTAGTCGTGTCATCTGACATCCGGCCGTATGTATTGGACACTCGGGTGAAGAGAGGGGCTGAGCTCTCAACTGATCACCACCTGGTGGTGAGTTGGCTCCGCTTACGAGGGGCAAAGCTGGATAGACCTGGCAGACCCAAACGTATCGTGAGGGTCTGTTGGGAACGTCTGGCAGAATCCCCGGTGAGGGGGGCCTTCAACTCCCACCTCCGGGAGAGTTTTGAACAGGTCCCGAGGGAGGCTGGAGACATTGAGTCTGAGTGGACTATGTTCTCCACTTCCATTGTTGATGCGGCTGTCCGAAGCTGCGGACGTAAGGTCTCCGGTGCCTGTCGTGGCGGCAATCCCCGAACCCGGTGGTGGACACCGGAAGTAAGGGAAGTAGTCAACCTCAAGAAGGAGTCCTATCGAGCCTGGTTGGTTCGTAGGACTCCTGAAGCAGCCGAAAAGTACAGGCAGGCCAAGCGGACTGCAGCTCGGGCAGTCGCGGAAGCAAAAACTCGAGTCGGGGAAAAGTTCGGGGAGGCCATGGAGGAGGACTATCGGTCGGCCTCGAAGAAATTCTGGCAAACCATCCGGCGCCTCAGGAAAGGGAAGCAGTTTCCCACCAC